CTATCATTTCCTGACCACATCAATGTGAAACCCTATCATTTCCTAACCACACCATTTCCTGAACCTACCATTTCCTGACCACATCAATGTGAAACCCTATCATTTCCTGACCACATCATTGTGAAACCCTACCATTTCCTGACCCTACCATTGCCTGACCACACCATTGCGTGACCACACCATTTCCTGACCACACTATATTCTGATCACACCATTTCCTGAACTCACCATTGCCTTATCACATCAATGTGAAACCCTACCATTTCCTGACCCTACCATTGCCTGACCACACCATTTCCTGACCCTACCATTGCCTGACCACACCATTGCCTGACCACACTATATCCTGATCACACCATTTCCTGATCACATCATTTTGAAACCCTACCATTGCCTGACCTCACCATTGCCTAACCACACCATTGCCTAACCACACCATTTCCTGACCACACTATATCCGGATCACACCATTGCCTAACCACACCATTGCCTGACCACACCATTGCCTGACCACACCATTTCCTGACCACACTATATCCTGATCACACCATTGCCTGACCACACCATTGTGAAACCCTACCATTTCCTGACCCTACAATTTCCTGACCTCACCATTTCCTGACCACATCATTTCCTGACCACACTATTTGATGACCACATCATTTCCTGACCTCACCATTGCCTGACCTCACCATTTCCTGACCTCACCATTTCCTGACCACATCATTTCCTGACCTCACCATTGCCTTACCTCACCATTTCCTGACCTCACCATTTCCTGACCACATCATTTCCTGACCTCACCATTGCCTGACCTCACCATTGCCTGACCTCACCATTTCCTGACCACACCATTGTGAAACCCTACCATTGCCTGACCACACTATATCCTGATCACCATTGGCTGACCACACCATTTCCTGACCACACCATTGCCTGACCTCACCATTGTGAGACCATACTATTGTGAGATCTCACTTTTCCACCAGCAACATGTAGCCTTAAATATGTCAAGGCTCCACATTGTTGTTCTTGATGTGATCAAATCTTTTTCACATGATTTGGCCTCATCTTTCGATCTATTTATAGACAATGTGGTCATGTAATCTGTAAAAGTTGTTCGGCCTATTGTCAACAGCTACAACTGTCATGTGGCCTTAGAGGGTGTGTTACCCCACAATACAATAGCTACAACTGTCATGTGGCCTTAGAGGGTGTGTTACCCCACAATACAATAGCTACAACTGTCATGTGGCCTTAGAGGGTGTGTTACCCCACAATACAATAGCTACAACTGTCATGTGGCCTTAGAGGGTGTGTTACCCCACAATACAATAGCTACAACTGTCATGTGGCCTTAGAGGGTGTGTTACCCCACAATACAATAGCTACAACTGTCATGTGGCCTTAGAGGGTGTGTTACCCCACAATACAATAGCCACAACTGTCATGTGGCCTTAGAGGGTGTGTTACCCCACAATACAATAGCTACTTTCTGCATATGACCTTGACATTGTATTGATGGTACCAAACAAACAACAAAATTGATACAGTTGTAGGGACACATATTATTTCACAATGTGCACATGAAGTATGCAAGAAAGGAAAACTGGACGAAATTTGCCATCACACATCTTTGTGCTTGGTGTGCAGTTCTAGTGCACAGATGTGTGATTCTATCACGGTTCATATAAATTTAGGAATGACTTATGAATAAGTGTGGGAAGTGTAGAGCTGATTGTATTTCCAAATGAAGCTTTCTATTTATAGGTCATACACATCTATCAGAGTGAACAGTACAATATACAAAGTTGTAATTAAGGGTGGTTTGTTTACAAAGTGCCACCAGTGACCAGTCTTTGTGTACAGATTATATACATACCTTTATACATGTAATTAAGAGTGGTTTGTTTACAAAGTGCCACCGGTGACCAGTCTTTGTGTACAGATTATATACATACCTTTATACCTGTGATTAAGAGTGTTTTGTTTACAAAGTGCCACCGGTGACCAGTCTTTGTGTACAGATTATATACATACCTTTATACCTGTGATTAAGAGTGGTTTGTTTACAAAGTGCCACCAGTGACCAGTCTTTGTGTACAGATTATATACATACCTTTATACCTGTAATTAAGAGTGGTTTGTTTACAAAGTGCCACCAGTGACCAGTCTTTGTGTACAGATTATATACATACCTTTATACCTGTAACTAAAAATGGTTTGTTTACAAAGTGCCACCAGTGACCAGTCTTTGTGTACAGATTATATACATACCTTTATACCTGTTATTAAGAGTGTTTTGTTTACAAAGTGCCACCAGTGACCAGTCTTTGTGTACAGATTATATACATACCTTTATACCTGTGATTAAGAGTGTTTTGTTTACAAAGTGCCACCAGTGACCAGTCTTTGTGTACAGATTATATACATACCTTTATACCTGTAATTAAGAGTGGTTTGTTTACAAAGTGCCACCAGTGACCAGTCTTTGTGTACAGATTATATACATACCTTTATACCTGTAATTAAAAATGGTTTGTTTACAAAGTGCCACCAGTGACCAGTCTTTGTGTACAGATTATATACATACCTTTATACATGTGATTAAGAGTGGTTTGTTTACAAAGTGCCACCAGTGACCAGTCTTTGTGTACAGATTATATACATACCTTTATACCTGTGATTAAGAGTGGTTTGTTTACAAAGTGCCACCAGTGACCAGTCTTTGTGTACAGATTATATACATACCTTTATACCTGTGATTAAGAGTGGTTTGTTTACAAAGTGCCACCAGTGACCAGTCTTTGTGTACAGATTATATACATACCTTTATACCTGTGATTAAGAGTGGTTTGTTTACAAAGTGCCACCAGTGACCAGTCTTTGTGTACAGATTATATACATACCTTTATACCTGTGATTAAGAGTGGTTTGTTTACAAAGTGCCACCAGTGACCAGTCTTTGTGTACAGATTATATACATACCTTTATACCTGTAATTAAAAATGGTTTGTTTACAAAGTGCCACCAGTGACCAGTCTTTGTTTACAGATTATATACATACCTTTATACCTGTAATTAAGGGTGGTTTGTTTACAAAGTGCCACCAGTGACCAGTCTGTGTACAGATTATATACATACCTTTATACCTGTAATTAAGGGTGGTTTGTTTACAAAGTGCCACCAGTGACCAGTCTTTGTTTACAGATTATATACATACCTTCATATATGTAATTATTGTTGGCCAGGACAAACCACTCAACACTATCTGAGGTGTAAACTATATACTAGAGAGACTTACTTACACAGGATCTGGTTGTAGTTGTCTTTGATAACTTCTATGTCAAAAGTTATCTTTACAATCACCATTGATATGTCAATGGTTGCTATTTAGTAATGATTACACAAGTTTTTCATTTAACCTTTGATTCATAATATTGGAAAAAGATTTTACCAAACTGCACATAATGTGCATCCGTTTCCTATGTTGTGCACTAAATATCTTTTTCATTTCTGAATATTTTGTTGATGTAAACAATCAATAGCATTAGACAGCAGGCTAAAGCCTAGATAAGTCTCCTCCCATAACAACATGGTGGTCAGACATAAACACCATAAATATACATGTACTTAAATACATACACATAATACATACACACATGCATGCATGCACACATTCACGCACACACACACACATATAATCATAAATTTTGTGTTGACAAACTAACCAATTTTAAATTATGGGAGACAACTCTGCTATAATTAACAATCCACAAGCTTTTCAGTTTACTATGTCTTATGATATTAAATGTGCATTACATGTTCTTTCCCTCTCATATAAAAGGGGTTTGGGTCAGAATGTCCATGATGTAATAGTTTGCCCTCTCCCACTTCAGTGAGGGAGCAGGTATACATAAAGCACATTTTTCTTACATCAAAGGATTATTATTTTGAATAAAAAGGATATTTAGACCAAGATAAAGAACCTACCAGAGTTGTTTCCTTATTATAAGATGATAACTGAAATACTGGGAATAAACCAGAAAGAACAAATAATAATGGGAAAAAGTGGGAAAAGTAAATAACTATTAACCAGCATTCGTCTCCTGATTAATAAAAGTTGAATTAACTATATCTATGGAAGGATATCAATTTTTTCCAATTATATTTTGTCTTAGTTTTAGATTTGTTCTATAATTTCAATTTATGTCAGTAGATACTAAACAATGGACATTAAAACCTTTCTGTATCATCAATATATACTTAACTACAACACCCAACAATGATTTATTGATGTGGGTGGTACAGACTGGGCAGCCATGCAAAACATAGTTTAGTTCCTAGTGGTTATGATTAGGGTTGTTTAGGGTTTGTAATAGACTTTTCTAGGGTTAATATATCTAGGGCAGTCAAAAAACAAATGTTGAGCTGTTTCAGGGGCACCACATGCACAAAATGGGTCATCATAAAGATGGTCTTTATGTAGATCATGATATAGAGAGCCGGCTGAATCCCTTAGCTGACAGAGAAGGATATTTAATCTTCTTGGTCCTCCTTCTCTAAAAATGATGTCATTCATACAAGCTGGAGGATTTGTCCTAAACAGAGTTTTTCAAAGTGCCTCACAGAGTGAATATCAGTTATGAGATTACTTATTTGATTAAATTCAGATATCATGTTTGGAAAGAGACTATCCTTATAGCTCACAGTTCAACAAATAGGTAAAGGTTGGATAATATAAAAAAATATTCAGGTGTTTCTTTGTTTAAGATTTTGTACATTAAGATAATTTTGTGTTTTTTCCTTCTGTAATCTAAAGACATCCAATCCAGCTCTGAAAAAAGTTTTGAATATCTAAATACTGTATCATGCTTGTGTGCGGCCAATATGTGTACAATGTATGCATGATGTGGTCAGGAAGTTTTTGGTGCATTGTGCATTATCACAACTGTATTAAGGTATAGAGTATTATATGGATGGTATTTTTATCATTTCAGCTTCATGATGGTGCTTATCTGTCTCATCTTTAGTGTGTTGTCTACCATAGCTCAGTACACAAGCTTTGCCAACGAAACTCTCTTCTGGATGGTAAGTGACATATCATATATAAAAAGATCACAAAATTCAGCATCTACAACAACGAAATGATGAATCCTATTTCTATACAAAAATTCTCTATATGATAAACAGAATATCAACCTGTAATGACATGATAAACTAAATATCTACCTGTAATGACAGGATAAATGGAATATCAACCTGTAATGACAGGATAAACTAAATATCAACCTGTAATGACAGGATAAATGGAATATCAACCTGTAATGACAGGATAAACTAAATATCTATCTGTAATGACAGGATATACAGAATATCAACCTGTAATGACATGACATACAGAATATCTACCTGTAATGACAGGATATACAGAATCTCTACCTGTTATGACAGGATATACAGAATATCTACCTGTAATGACATTATATACAGAATATCTACCTGTAATGACAGGATATACAGAATATCTACCTGTTATGACAGGATATACAGAATATCTACCTGTTATGACATTATATACAGAATATCTACCTGTAATGACAGGATATACAGAATATCTGCCTGTAATGACATGATAAACTAACTATCTACCTGTAATGACAGGATATACAGAATATCTACCTGTAATGACAGGATAAACTAAATATCTACCTGTAATGACAGGATATACAGAATGTCTACCTGTAATGACAGGATATACAGAATATCTACCTGTAATGACAGGATAAACTAGATATCTACCTTTAATGACAGGGTATACAGAATATCTACCTGTAATGACAGGATATACAGAATATCTACAGAATATCTACCTGTAATGACAGGATATACAGAATCTCTACCTGTAATGACAGGATAAACTAGATATCTACCTGTAATGACAGGGTATACAGAATATCTACCTGTAATGATAGGATATACAGAATATCTACCTGTAATGACAGGATATACAGAATATCTACCTGTTATGACATTATATACAGAATATCTACCTGTAATGACAGGATATACAGAATATCTACAGAATCTCTACCTGTAATGACAGGATATACAGAATATCTACAGAATCTCTACCTGTAATGACAGGATATACTAAATATCTACCTACTATTAATCCTTGGTTTTTGTTTTGTTTTTGCAGGAGATTGTACTTGTGGTATTTTTTGGTTTGGAATATGTCATCCGTCTATGGTCAGCTGGTTGTCGTAGCAAATATATGGGGTTAAAAGGGAGGTTACGCTTTGCACGAAAACCCATCTCCATCATAGGTAAATATACCTGAAATCTGGTACATGAAATAGATAAGACTAGGCTGTTCTGCCAAGGGAAAGGTCGAAGGATCTGATCACAGTACTTCTGCCCATTTAAAGTTCCATCAAGGACATGCAAACAAATCTTTAGAGAAAAGCATCCTCACACAGTAAAACCACCAACACCAAGTGATATTGTGCCAATGTTAGATTCTGATGGAATGCCATGTTTCTTGGTCTCCAATTTGTTGGACTAAGTAAAAAAGCAGTTTGAATCAGATCAGTGGACTCTTTGCCAAGACCTAATATTCCATGTCTGGTGACCATGCACCAATTGCAGACTTCCTTGTCTGTGCCTTCCAGTCACCAGAGGATGTCTGACTGGTCAGTGTTAAAACAGTTCTTGATGGTATGCTAGCTAATGCCAACATTGACGTTCCACTGTCCGCCGAGCCTGGTGGCAGTAATGAATTAGGGCGCACCTTGCCTATCTACACAGAAGTCAATCTTCTCTATCTTTAGTCTTTCAAGGTCTGTCAGACCTGTCAACATGCCTGATTTGATTCATATCAAGAAATAACAAAATGGATGACACTAAAATTTACAGCTACCTGCCCGTACGTTATACATCCTTGAACCTTTCCAGAAGCCTGTCATCTTTCAGCTATTGTCAGGTTTAGACGTGTCATCTTTCAGCTATTGTCAGGTTTAGGCGTGTCATCTTTCAGCTATTGTCAGGTTTAGATGTGTCATCTTTCAGCTATTGTCAGGTTTAGACTGTCATTTTTCAGCTGTTGTCAGGTTTAGACATGTCATCTTTCAGCTATTGTCAGTTTATATGTGTCATCTTTCAGCTATTTTCAGTTTATATGTGTCATCTTTCAGCTATTGTCAGGTTTAGATGTGTCATCTTTCAGCTATTGTCAGGTTTAGACTGTCATTTTTCAGCTGTTGTCAGGTTTAGACATGTCATCTTTCAGCTATTGTCAGTTTATATGTGTCATCTTTCAGCTGTTGTCAGTTTATATGTGTCATCTTTCAGCTATTGTCAGGTTTAGACGTGTCATCTTTCAGCTATTGTCAGTTTATATGTGTCATCTTTCAGCTATTTTCAGTTTATATGTGTCATCTTTCAGCTATTGTCAGTTTATATGTGTCATCTTTCAGCTATTGTCAGTTTATATGTGTCATCTTTCAGCTATTGTCAGGTTTAGATGTGTCATCTTTCAGCTATTGTCAGGTTTAGACTGTCATTTTTCAGCTGTTGTCAGGTTTAGACATGTCATCTTTCAGCTATTTTCAGTTTATATGTGTCATCTTTCAGCTATTTTCAGTTTATATGTGTCATCTTTCAGCTATTGTCAGGTTTAGATGTGTCATCTTTCAGCTATTGTCAGGTTTAGACTGTCATTTTTCAGCTGTTGTCAGGTTTAGACATGTCATCTTTCAGCTATTGTCAGTTTATATGTGTCATCTTTCAGCTGTTGTCAGTTTATATGTGTCATCTTTCAGCTATTGTCAGTTTTAGATGTACCATCTTTAGATACAGTATGAGAATGTATATGATTTACCAGTAATACACTTGTAAACACTGCTTAGGTAGCAAAGCAGAAATGTGTTTTGTAAGAGTATTGGGTACCCTAGAGTAATCTAGGATATTGTTGCGCTAAACACAAAAGGAGACAAACAAAAAATTGAATTAGTTTCAACTAAAATTTTCATTCTGATGTTGACCTTAACATCTGGCCAAATATATATTTACCAGAAAAGAAAATCACAGTGCAGACAACATTGTTTGTCAAATTTTTAAGTGAACCACAAATTCCTTCTGGTTTGTTTTTTGTGGTTATAATAGTTTCATAAAAGATAAAAACAACATTTAACACCTATAGTTAAAATACCACTTTGACATCATCCATTGGGCGACCTCTTCCCACCCTCATGATAATGTATTCACTAGACTAAAGCTCAAGGGAGTGAGACCAGCTTGTTCTTTGTTTAAAGAGAGAGATGGGATACCACAGACTATATACATTATTGTATCATTTTAAACTGAAATATGGATTTACGAAAACTATAGACCAAAATCATTTCATCTGCTGTTTGAAGACAACAGAAAAATTAACAAAAGCATTTCAAACATGGAACAATCCATGTTTTAGTGAAGTATATATGTATGTCAAGTAAGGTTCTGATTTTGTAAGGAAACACATGTCACAGTTCAGGAAATCCATACTATTTTACTGAATGCAATGTTTGTTCAATATCTTTATTGTTTCAGATTTCCTTGTGGTGTCCGCATCAATTGTGGTACTGTCAGCAGGCTCTGAGGGTCAGGTGTTTGCAACATCAGCTATCAGGTATATATAGTCAGGGCCACCCAGCTATCAGGTATACATAGTCAGGCCACCCAGCTATCAGGTATACATAGTCAGGCCACCCAGCTATCAGGTATACATAGTCAGGGCCACCCAGCTATCAAGTATACATAGTCAGGGCCACCCAGCTATCAGGTATACATAGTCATGCCACCCAGTTATCAGGTATACATAGTCAGGCCACCCAGCTATCAGGTATACATAGTCAGGCCACCCAACTATCAGGTATACATAGTCAGGTCACCCAGCTATCAGGTATACATAGTCAGACCATCCAGCTATCAGGTAAACATAGTCAGGGCCACCCAGCTATCAGGTATACATAGTCAGGGCCACAAAGCTATCAGGTATACATAGTCAGGTCACCCAGCTATCAGGTATACATAGTCAGGGCCACCCAGTAATCAGGTATACTTAGTCAGGTCACCCAGCTATCAGGTATACATAGTCAGGGCCACTCAGCTATCAGGTATACATAGTCAGGGCCACCCAGCTATCAAGTATACATAGTCAGGGCCACCCAGCTATCAGGTATACATAGTCATGCCACCCAGTTATCAGGTATACATAGTCAGGGCCACCCAGTAATCAGGTATACATAGTCAGGGCCACCCAGCTATCAGGTATACTTAGTCAGGTCACCCAGCTATCAGGTATACATAGTCAGGCCACCCAACTATCAGGTATACATAGTCAGGTCACCCAGCTATCAGGTATACATAGTCAGACCATCCAGCTATCAGGTAAACATAGTCAGGGCCACCCAGCTATCAGGTATACATAGTCAGGGCCACAAAGCTATCAGGTATACATAGTCAGGTCACCCAGCTATCAGGTATACATAGTCAGGGCCACCCAGTAATCAGGTATACTTAGTCAGGTCACCCAGCTATCAGGTATACATAGTCAGGGCCACTCAGCTATCAGGTATACATAGTCAGGGCCACCCAGTAATCAGGTATACATAGTCAGGGCCACCCAGCTATCAGGTATACTTAGTCAGGTCACCCAGCTATCAGGTATACATAGTCAGGGCCACTCAGCTGTCAGGTATACATAGTCAGGGCCACTCACCTATCAGGTATACAGTCAGGGCCACCCAGCTATCAGGTGTACATAGTCAGGGCCACTCACCTATCAGGCATACATAGTCAGGGCTACCCACCATCCAGCTATCAGGTATACATAGCTGTGGCCTATTGGACTATCAGTTATACATAGTCAGGCCATCCAGATATCAGGCCCACCCCCTCCCCCACCCCCCAGTATCAAGGTGTTAATGATCCATAATCATGGTCATTCTCAGCTGTCTACATCCTATTCTTTCTTTCTGTAATCATTTAAGTTTCATAGTAAACTCCTACTACATCTAAACTGTTAACATTGTTTTGTTTTCCAGAGGTGTGAGATTTTTACAGATTTTACGAATGCTCCATGTAGATAGACAAGGAGGCACATGGCGTCTCTTAGGATCTGTAGTATATATACATAGACAGGTGAGTATATACATAGACAGGTGAGAATATATACAGACAGGTGAGTATGTATATATAGACAGAAGAGAGCAAATATGTGTATAATCAGGTAAGTTTATATATATATATATGTGTGAGTATCAAACAATTGACATAGCAAATAAATTCACTAACGTTTTCAGCCCTCACCTGAAGATGGCCGTGAGGCCTGAAAACAAATTTATTTTCCATGTCAAGTGTTTGATTTTGTGTATATATATATATATATAGACAGATGAAAGGATATATAATCAGGTAAGTCTATTTCAGTAATACGCATCAAATGAACATTTGTTTGTTAGGATCCAGTACCAATATTGGACCATACCGTCGATATTACTTACTAGAACCTATATATATATATGTGTGTGTGTATACATGATGAAGCTTATTTGACCTCTACAATACACAACAGAACTACTTACTGATCCTCTATTTCATTGTCGTTTATGTCTGCATGCATACTTAATAAGTTCTATAATGATTAAATTGAGTGACTATGCAAATTTTATGGAATATTTGAGTAGAGAATGTGTGAAATGACAATTAAGTCTTCCGTGGGATGTATGTTCAAATTAAAATTGCGTGCTGAGAAGATTCCAAATTAATTTCAGGAAAATCAATATTTTTTTGCCAATTTCCTAATCAATATTCAGATATCCTTGTAAGTTATATCTACTGCAATAAAATCTATTATGGAAATTATTCCAGTTTCAGAGGTAGGTAGCAGACAGGTATACATGCTAGGGTTGGTATGAATGGAATATCTCTTCCTCTTGAAGGTGAGATGGGAGATTTCATCCCAGGTGAAAGATGATTAAGGTGTCAAACATGAGGCTTGCCAAGTGTTTGTAACTTTAAATGATCTTTTCCTGAGGGATGAGATTGCCCATCTCACCAACTTGGAGTAAAGGATTATTTTTCTCTTACCCTGCCAGCCTTCTTGTATTTTTGTCATCCCATTGTTTTGCGTCCGTGATACGCCATTATAGATATGACAAGGGAATATTCTCAGCCCCATAGGAAATATGTTTGTCAGTACACTAACTAAATTGAAACACTTAATGAAGTATTATTGATACTGATACAGTATTATGGGGACAGCGCTTTCAATATGATAGAAGAACAGGGACAGAAGTACAGTGTATGTTCAAATTAAAGTTGCATGCTATGCAGGTTCAAATTAATGTCAAGAAAATCAATAATTTTTTGCCAATTTCCTGATTGATATTCAGATATGGGCGTAGAAATCCTTGTAAATTCAATATCTACTGCAATAAAATCTATTATGGAAAATAGTCCATTAAAGTTTCAGAGGTAGCAGACAGGTATACATGCTAGGGTTGGTATGAATGGAATATCTCTTCCTCTTGAAGGTGAGATGGGAGATTTCATCCCAGGTGAAAGATGATTAAGGTGTCAAACATGAGGCTTGCCAAGTGTTTGTAACTTTAAATGATCATTTCCTGGGGGATGAGATTGCCCATCTCACCAACTTGGAGTAAAGGATTATTTTCTCTTACCCTGCCGGCCTTCTTGTATTTTGTCATCCCATTGCTTGGCATCGCTGATGTGACATGGTTGTTCTGATCCTTTAACAACTGTGATGTGGCATTTGTTGTTCAGCTTCCCTTTAACAACTTCTTCAGAATACCTTACTTCCAAGGTCATTGCAAAACGTGTTAAAACCATCCTAACTTAGCCACAAAGTACATGGATGTTCATGATATTTGACTAGTGGTAATGCTTGGACAAAAGGCTTATCAGTTTGGTTCAAATGAATGACCTTGACTTTATTCAATGCAGTGGATACAAACTGAAAGGTTTGTAGACACCAAATGGAGATAAAACAAGTTACCTAGGTGGACAGACCAATAACATTGATTTATTCTTTAAACTACAATTCAGAAAGAATAGAAGTGACGCTGTGGCACCTCTGCCTGTCTTATGATCAGACTTTGTAATGAAAGTCTGTCCATCTCTTGCAGGGACACAGATCTTAATGAACATCCCTCTACTTCTCACAGGAACATGCTTCATAATGAGCATCTCCCACCAAACATCTTCACCTCCTAAACAACACTGAGCAGACTAAATGAGATTGGGCCTCATTACTGATACATTAGCCTCACTTCATAATCACTTTTACTAGCCTCCATTTTACCTGCAATATTGATAAACACACATTATTACATTAGACCAATACATCAATAATATTTTACAGTTAATCATGATCGTGTCAGTATATCAATAATATTTTACAGTTAATCATGATCGTGTCAGTATATCAATAATATTTTACAGTTAATCATGATCGTGTCAGTATATCAATAATATTTTACAGTTAATCATGATCGTGTCAGTATATCAATAATATTTTACAGTTAATCATGATCGTGTCAGTATATCAATAATATTTTACAGTTAATCATCGTTGTTTCAGTATATTAGTAATTTTTGTTTGTGACCAGATGCCAGGACATAAAGTTCTCATGAAATAACCTACGTCGGTAATAATTACTTATCCTGCCTGAGATATATGATAAAACAGTTGTTCCCGACTTTTACGTACCTATTTTGAGAATTAGACTTTTGTTTGGCTGTTGAGGCCAGTGTTATTGTTTACCTAGTGTGAACAATGAAGTGTTTTATCATTTATATATTAGTTAATATTATAAACAATGACCAGGATTTCACAGCCTACAATCTTAGTTATCATGTTCACTGAGTAATTGTACAGAAAAATGGTCAACATTATGGTAAAATAGTTGGTTATCAATAATAATTGTAAACATCTTCTGTACATGTTTATCACTAAATCTCTGTATAATTACACTATACACACATTTATCAAAAAAGTTTGAAATCTATTTGTGAGGGAGATTTGTAATATTTCAATCATGGCTTAAATGGAGTAACTCTTCCAGACAACTTATAAATATACAAGTTTTAGTAAATTCTAACTTATTTCTGTATTGTTATTGTTTCTGTCAAGTTAACAGATCAAATCAACCCATGTTGTTAAATTAGCTGACAGGTAACAAGTATCATTTAACTGACAAATCACTGTTAGCTAATACTGTTTCCTTAGTACACCACACCAAAAGGGGTAAGCTTTTGAAAGGCAGTCTATCAGTGTACATTCCATTACCTTCTATAATTAGTAAAGACAACCATTAGAGATCTAACATTCATGTTATGGCAATTTCATGCTCTGCTCGGTTGAAATACCTGATTGGTAAAATTATATATCCGATGAGTTGAATCATCCGGTTGATAGAAATTTAGGTCGAGCTGGCTGAATTACGTAATTAGTAAAATTTTTGTCTGGTTGGTTGAATTACGTAATTAGTAAAATTTTTGTCTGGTTGGTTGAATTACGTAATTAGTAAATTTTTTGTCTGGTTGGTTGAATTACGTAATTAGTAAATGTTTTGTCTGGTTGTTTGAATTACCTAATTAGTAAAATTTTTGTCTGGTTGGTTGAATTACGTAATTAGTAAAATTTTTGTCTGGTTGGTTGAATTACGTAATTAGTAAAATTTTTGTCTGGTTGGTTGAATTACGTAATTAGTAAATGTTTTGTCTGGTTGTTTGAATTACCTAATTAGTAAAATTTTTGTCTGGTTGGTTGAACTAGCCAGTTGATAAGTATATGTGCATTTGATTGAACTACCTGGTTGGTAAATTTGTATGTCAGTTTGGCTGAGTCACATGATTGAGAGAATATAAAATGATATGTTCCGTTGGTTAAAATACTGAATTTAGAGAACAATATGTCTGGTGGGTTGAATTCCCTCATTATTAAAGTTATTTGTCTGGATGGATGAACAATTGTAATGTATCTTGTTACGAACATAGATTTAAAAAAGCATTGTATACTATAATACAAACACCTGTATTTTTGATTATCTCCCTTGTCTCGTTATTTACTGATCATGTTCTTATTTACACAGGAGCTGATAACAACACTGTATATAGGATTTCTAGGTCTCATTTTCTCATCCTACTTTGTCTACCTCGCTGAAAAAGACTTCGTAACGGAGGATGGTATTACCCACTTCACAAGCTATGCAGACGCCCTCTGGTGGGGAGTGGTCAGTATAATTTCTTTGTGGTTGGGGGGGTGGCCAGTATAATTTCTTTGTGGCTGGGGTGTGGCCAGTATAATTTCTTTGTGGTTGGGGTGTGGCCAGTATAATTTCTTTGTGGCTGGGGTGTGGCCAGTATAATTTCTTTGTGGTTGGGGGGGTGGCCAGTATAATTTCTTTGTGGTTGTGGGGGTGGCCAGTATAATTTCTTTGTGGTTGGGGGGGGTGGCCAGTATAATTTCTTTGTGGTTGTGGGGGTGGCCAGTATAATTTCTTTGTGGTTGGGGGGTGGCCAGTATAATTTCTTTGTGGTTGGGGGGGGCGGCCAGTATAATTTCTTTGTGGTTGTGGGGGTGGCCAGTATAATTTCTTTGTGGTTGTGGGGGCGGCCAGTATAATTTCTTTGTGGTTGGGGGGTGGCCAGTATAATTTCTTTGTGGTTGGGGGGTGGCCAGTATAATTTCTTTGTGGTTGTGGGGTGGCCAGTATAATTTCTTTGTGGTTGGGGTGTGGCCAGTATAATTTCTTTGTGGTTGCGTTGTGGCCAGTATAATTTCTTTGTGGCTGGGGTGTGGCCAGTATAATTTCTTTGTGGTTGTGGGGGCGGCCAGTATAATTTCTTTGTGGTTGGGGTGTGGCCAGTACATTTTCTTTGTGGTTGAGGGGTGGCCAGTATAATTTCTTTGTGGTTGGGGTGTGGCCAGTATAATTTCTTTGTGGTTGGGGTGTGGCCAGTATAATTTCTTTGTGGTTGAGGGGTGGCCAGTATAATTTCTTTGTGGTTGAGGGGTGGCCAGTATAATTTCTTTGTGGTTGGGGTGTGGCCAGTATAATTTCTTTGTGGTTGGGGTGTGGCCAGTATAATTTCTTTGTGGTTGGGGGGGTTGTGGTTGTGGGGGTGGCCAGTATAATTTCTTTGTGGTTGGGGGGTGGCCAGTATAATTTCTTTGTGGTTGGGGGGTGGCCAGTATAATTTCTTTGTGGTTGGGGGGTGCCATAAAAATTTGGAATTGGGTGTGGGGGTGGCCAGTATAATTTCTTTGTGGTTGGGGGGTGGCCAGTATAATTTCTTTGTGGTTGTGGGGTGGCCAGTATAATTTCTTTGTGGTTGGGGTGTGGCCAGTATAATTTCTTTGTGGTTGGGTTGGTGGGCCAGTATAATTTCTTTGTGGTTGGGGGGTGGCCAGTATAATTTCTTTGTGGTTGGGGTGTGGCCAGTATAATTTCTTTGTGGTTGAGGGGTGGCCAGTATAATTTCTTTGTGGTTGTGGGGTGGCCAGTATAATTTCTTTGTGGTTGGGGTGTGGCCAGTATAATTTCTTTGTGGTTGGGGGTGTGGCCAGTATAATTTCTTTGTGGTTGGGGTGTGGCCAGTATAATTTCTTTGTGGTTGGGGTGTGGCCAGTATAATTTCTTTGTGGTTGGGGTGTGGCCAGTATAATTTCTTTGTGGTTGGGGGTGGCCAGTATAATTTCTTTGTGGTTGGGGTGTGGCCAGTATAATTTCTTTGTGGTTGAGGGGTGGCCAGTATAATTTCTTTGTGGTTGGGGTGTGGCCAGTATAATTTCTTTGTGGTTGAGGGGTGGCCAGTATAATTTCTTTGTGGTTGGGGTGTGGCCAGTATAATTTCTTTGTGGTTGGGGTGTGGCCAGTATAATTTCTTTGTGGTTGAGGGGTGGCCAGTATAATTTCTTTGTGGTTGGGGTGTGGCCAGTATAATTTCTTTGTGGTTGGGGGTGTGGCCAGTATAATTTCTTTGTGGTTGGGGTGTGGCCAGTATAATTTCTTTGTGGTTGGGGTGTGGCCAGTATAATTTCTTTGTGGTTGAGGGGTGGCCAGTATAATTTCTTTGTGGTTGGGGTGTGGCCAGTATAATTTCTTTGTGGTTGGGGTGTGGCCAGTATAATTTCTTTGTGGTTGGGGTGTGGCCAGTATAATTTCTTTGTGGTTGGGGTGTGGCCAGTATAATTTCTTTGTGGTTGGGGTGTGGCCAGTATAATTTCTTTGTGGTTGTGGGGGCGGCCAGTATAATTTCTTTGTGGTTGGGGTGTGGCCAGTACATTTTCTTTGTGGTTGCGTTGTGGCCAGTATAATTTCTTTGTGGTTGTGGGGGCGGCCAGTATAATTTCTTTGTGGTTGGGGTGTGGCCAGTACATTTTCTTTGTGGTTGGGGTGTGGCCAGTATAATTTATTTGTGGTTGGGGTGGCCAGTATAATTTCTTTGTGGTTGGGGTGTGGCCAGTATAATTTCTTTGTGGTTGGGGTGTGGCCAGTATAATTTCTTTGTGGTTGGGGGGGTGGCCAGTATAATTTCTTTGTGGCTGGGGTGTGGCCAGTATAATTTCTTTGTGGCTGGGGTGTGGCCAGTATAATTTCTTTGTGGCTGGGGTGTGGCCAGTATAATTTCTTTGTGGTTGTGGGGGTGGCCAGTATAATTTCTTTGTGGTTGTGGGGTGGCCAGTATAATTTCTTTGTGGTTGGGGTGTGGCCAGTATAATTTCTTTGTGGTTGTGGGGGCGGCCAGTATAATTTCTTTGTGGTTGTGGGGGTGGCCAGTATAATTTCTTTGTGGTTGTGGGGGTGGCCAGTATAATTTCTTTGTGGCTGGGGTGTGGCCAGTATAATTTCTTTGTGGTTGTGGGGGTGGCCAGTATAATTTCTTTGTGGTTGCGTTGTGGCCAGTATAATTTCTTTGTGGCTGGGGTGTGGCCAGTATAATTTCTTTGTGGCTGGGGTGTGGCCTGTAATTTTGTTTGTGGTTGGGGGTGGCCAGTATAATTTCTTTGTGGTTGGGGTGTGGCCAGTATAATTTCTTTGTGGTTGGGGGGTGGCCAGTATAATTTCTTTGTGGTTGTGGGGTGGCCAGTATAATTTCTTTGTGGTTGGGGGTGGCCAGTATAATTTCTTTGTGGTTGGGGGTGGCCAGTATAATTTCTTTGTGGTTGTGGGGGGGTGGCCAGTATAAATTCTTTGTGGTTGGGGGGTGGCCAGTATAATTTCTTTGTGGTTGTGGGGGTGGCCAGTATAATTTCTTTGTGGTTGTGGGGGTGGCCAGTATAATTTCTTTGTGGTTGCGTTGTGGCCAGTATAATTTCTTTGTGGTTGGGGGGTGGCCAGTATAATTTCTTTGTGGTTGGAGGGGTGGCCAGTACATTTTCTTTGTGGTGATAATAGAGAGATTGTGTTTTGTAGATTACTGTCACCACTATAGGGTGTGGTGATAATAGAGAGATTGTGTTTTGTAGATTACTCTCACCACTATAGGGTGTGGTGGTGATAATATAATAGAGAGATTGTGTTTTGTAGATTACTGTCACCACTATAGGGTGTGGTGATAATAGAGAGATTGTGTGTTGTAGATTACTGTCACCACTATAGGGTGTGGTGATAATAGAGATGGTGTGTTTTGTAGATGTGTTTTGTAGATTACTGTCACCACTATAGGGTGTGGTGATAATAGAGAGATTTTGTGTTGTAGATTACTGTCACCACTATAGGGTGTGGTGATAATAGAGAGATTGTGTTTTGTAGATTACTGTCACCACTAGATAGGGAATGTGTAAAGTGATAATAGAGAGATTGTGTTTTGTAGATTACTGTCACCACTATAGAGAGATGTGGTGTTTTGAGAGATTGGGTGTGGTGATAATAGAGAGATTGTGTGTTGTAGAGAGATGTGTTTTGTAGATTACTGTCACCACTATAGGGTGTGGTGATAATAGAGAGATTGTGTTTTGTAGATTACTGTCACCACTATAGGGTGTGGTGATAATAGAGAGATTGTGTTTTGTAGATTACTGTCACCACTATAGGGTGTGGTGATAATAGAGAGATTGTGTTTTGTAGATTACTGTCACCACTATAGGGTGTGGTGATAATAGAGAGATTGTGTTTTGTAGATTACTGTCACCACTATAGGGTGTGGTGATAATAGAGAGATTGTGTTTTGTAGATTACTGTCACCACTATAGGGTGTGGTGATAATAGAGAGATTGTGTTTTGTAGATTACTGTCACCACTATAGGGTGTGGTGATAATAGAGAGATTGTGTTTTGTAGATTACTGTCACCACTATAGGGTGTGGTGATAATAGAGAGATTGTGTTTTGTAGATTACTGTCACCACTATAGGGTGTGGTGATAATAGAGAGATTGTGTTTTGTAGATTACTGTCACCACTATAGGGTGTGGTGATAATAGAGAGATTGTGTTTTGTAGATTACTGTCACCACTATAGGGTGTGGTGATAATAGAGAGATTGAGATTGTGTGTGGTGTAGAGATTGTGTTTTGTATTACTGTCACCACTATAGGGTGTGGTGATAATAGAGAGATTGTGTTTTGTAGATTACTGTCACCACTATAGGGTGTGGTGATAATAGAGAGATTGTGTTTTGTAGATTACTGTCACCACTATAGGGTGTGGTGATAATAGAGAGATTGTGTTTTGTAGATTACTGTCACCACTATAGGGTGTGGTGATAATAGAGAGATTGTGTTTTGTAGATTACTGTCACCACTATAGGGTGTGGTGATAATAGAGAGATTGTGTTTTGTAGATTACTGTCACCACTATAGGGTGTGGTGATAATAGAGAGATTGTGTTTTGTAGATTTGTAGATTACTGTCACCACTATAGGGTGTGGTGATAATAGAGAGATTGTGTTTTGTAGATTACTGTCACCACTATAGGGTGTGGTGATAATAGAGAGATTGTGTTTTGTAGATTACTGTCACCACTATAGGGTGTGGTGATAATAGAGAGAGATTGTGTTTTGTAGATTACTGTCACCACTATAGGGTGTGGTGATAATAGAGAGATTGTGTTTTGTAGATTACTGTCATAGAGATAGAGAGATTGTGTTTTGTAGATTACTGTCACCACTATAGGGTGTGGTGATAATAGAGAGATTGTGTTTTGTAGATTACTGTCACCACTATAGGGTGTGGTGATAATAGAGAGATTGTGTTTTGTAGATTACTGTCACCACTATAGGGTGTGGTGATAATAGAGAGATTGTGTTTTGTAGATTACTGTCACCACTATAGGGTGTGGTGATAATAGAGAGATTGTGTTTTGTAGATTACTGTCACCACTATAGGGTGTGGTGATAATAGAGAGATTGTGTTTTGTAGATTACTGTCACCACTATAGGGTGTGGTGATAATAGAGAGATTGTGTTTTGTAGATTACTATAGGGTGTGGTGATAATAGAGAGATTGTGTTTTGTAGATTACTCTCACCACTATAGGGTGTGGTGATAATAGAGAGATTGTGTTTTGTAGATTACTGTCACCACTATAGGGTGTGGTGATAATAGAGAGATTGTGTTTTGTAGATTACTGTCACCACTATAGGGTGTGGTGATAATAGAGAGATTGTGTTTTGTAGATTACTGTCACCACTATAGGGTGTGGTGATAATAGAGAGATTGTGTTTTGTAGATTACTGTCACCACTATAGGGTGTGGTGATAATAGAGAGATTGTGTGTTGTAGATTACTGTCACCACTATAGGGTGTGGTGATAATAGAGAGATTGTGTTTTGTAGATTACTGTCACCACTATAGGGTGTGGTGATAATAGAGAGAGATTGTGTTTGTAGATTACTGTCACCACTAAAGGGTGTGGTGATAATAGAGAGATTGTGTGTTGTAGATTACTGTCACCACTATAGGGTGTGGTGATAATGAGAGATTGTGTTTTGTAGAGATGTGGTGATTTTGATTTTGTGTTGTAGATTACTGTCACCACTATAGGGTGTGGTGATAATAGAGAGATTGTGTTTTGTAGATTACTATAGGATGTGGTGATAATAGAGAGATTTTGTGTTGTAGATTACTGTCACCACTATAGGGTGTGGTGATAATAGAGAGATTGTGTTTTGTAGATTACTGTCACCACTATAGGGTGTGGTGATAATAGAGAGATTGTGTGTTGTAGATTACTGTCACCACTATAGGGTGTGGTGATAATAGAGAGATTGTGTTTTGTAGATTACTGTCACCACTATAGGGTGTGGTGATAATAGAGAGATTGTGTGTTGTAGATTACTGTCACCACTATAGGGTGTGGTGATAATAGAGAGATTGTGTTTTGTAGATTACTGTCACCACTATAGGGTGTGGTGATAATAGAGAGATTGTGTTTTGTAGATTACTGTCACCACTATAGGGTGTGGTGATAATAGAGAGATTGTGTTTTGTAGATTACTATAGGATGTGGTGATAATAGAGAGATTTTGTGTTGTAGATTACTGTCACCACTATAGGGTGTGGTGATAATAGAGAGATTGTGTTTTGTAGATTACTATAGGATGTGGTGATAATAGATTACTGTCACCACTATAGGGTGTGGTGATAATAGAGAGATTGTGTTTTGTAGATTACTGTCACCACTATAGGGTGTGGTGATAATAGAGAGATTGTGTGTTGTAGATTACTGTCACCACTATAGGGTGTGGTGATAATAGAGAGATTGTGTGTTGTAGATTACTGTCACCACTATAGGGTGTGGTGATAATAGAGAGATTGTGTTTTGTAGATTACTGTCACCACTATAGGGTGTGGTGATAATAGAGAGATTGTGTTTTGTAGATTACTATAGGGTGTGGTGATGATAGAGAGATTGTGTGTTGTAGATTACTGTCACCACTATAGGCTGTGGTGATAATAGAGAGATTGTGTTTTGTAGATTACTGTCACCACTATAGGGTGTGGTGATAATAGAGAGATTGTGTTTTGTAGATTACTATAGGGTGTGGTGATGATAGAGAGATTGTGTGTTGTAGATTACTGTCACCACTATAGGGTGTGGTGATAATAGAGAGATTTTGTGTTGTAGATTACTGTCACCACTATAGGGTGTGGTGATAATAGAGAGATTGTGTGTTGTAGATTACTGTCACCACTATAGGGTGTGGTGATAATAGAGAGATTGTGTTTTGTAGATTACTGTCACCACTATAGGGTGTGGTGATAATAGAGAGATTTTGTGTTGTAGATTACTGTCACCACCATTGGTTATGGGGATACAGTTCCTATGACATGGATGGGGAGAATTGTGGCCTCCTGTTTCTCGGTCTTTGCCATCTCATTCTTTGCTCTCCCAGCTGTAAGTAAACTATTATATAATATAAGGTCTATTTCCTAATAAGGGAAATGCTATGTGTATGAATGGACAATTATAAAGAGTACGCTATACACATGTGTATGATAGTACATATAGTATGCTATACACATGTGTATAATAGTACATATAGTATGCTATACACATGTGTATGATAGTACATTGTATGATATACACATGTGTATGATAGTACATTGTATGATATACACATGTGTATGATAGTACATTGTATGATATACACATGTGTATGATATTTCATAATATGCTATACACATGTGTATGATAGTACATTGTGTGATATACACATGTGTATGATAGTTCATAGTATGCTATACATGTGTATGATAGTACATTGTATGATAAACACATGTGTATGATAGTACATATAGTATGCTATACACATGTGTATGATAGTACATTGTATGATATACACATGTGTATGATAGTACATATAGTATGCTATACACATGTGTATGATAGTACATTGTATGATATACACATGTGTATGATAGTACATTGTATGATATACACATGTGTATGATAGTACATTGTATGATATACACATGTGTATGATAGTACATATAGTATGCTATACACATGTGTATGATAGTACATTGTATGATATACACATGTGTATGATAGTACATTGTATGATATACACATGTGTATGATAGTACATTGTATGATATACACATGTGTATGATAGTACGTTGTATGATATACACATGTGTATAATAGTACATATAGTATGCTATACTTAAATAAATATGATGATAGATATTATGAGATTACATACTGTTATATTCTATAAGTCCTGTTATAGGAACTTTCAGTGATAATCACACAACCTTAACAAGTATCAGAACTCTACCATTGTGACCATATTTAGACTCAAATTATGTGTTGTATTTGCGTTGTGCTGTATTTATACAATCTGTATGCATCAAATAATACATTTCCTTTTAAAAACATTGTCTTTGAAACTGAAGAAAAATTGTTTCAGGGTATTTTAGGATCAGGGTTTGCATTAAAAGTTCAACAGAAGCAAAGACAGAAGCATTTTAACAGACAGATACCAACAGCTGCTGCATTGATACAGGTAAGTCAATGATACAGGTAAGTCACTGACACAGGTATATCACTGATACAGGTAAGTCACTGACACAGGCATATCACTGATACAGATATATCACTGATACAGGTAAGTCACTGATACAGGTATATCACTGATACAGGTAAGTCACTGATACAGGTAATTCACTGATACAGGTATGTCACTGATACAGGTATATCACTGATACAGGTAAGTTACTGATACAGGTATATCACTGATACAGGTAAGTCACTGATACAGGTAAGTCACTGATACAGGTAATTCACTGATACAGGTATATCACTGATACAGGTAAGTCACTGATACAGGTATATCACTGATACAGGTAAGTCACTAATACAGGTATATCATTGATACAGGTAAGTCACTGATACAGGTAAGTCACTGACACAGGTATATCACTGATACAGATATATCACTGATACAGGTAAGTCACTGATACAGGTATATCACTGATACAGGTAAGTCACTGATACAGGTAATTCACTGATACAGGTAATTCACTGATACAGGTAAGTCACTGATACAGGTATATCACTGATACAAGTAAGTCACTGATACAGGTATGTCACTGATACAGGTATATCACTGATACAGGTAAGTCACTGATACAGGTAATTCACTGATACAGGTATGTCACTGATACAGGTAAATCACTGATACAGGTAATTCACTGATACAGGTATATCACTGATACAGGTAAGTCACTGATACAGGTAAGTCACTCATACAGGTATATCACTGATACAGGTATATCACTGATACAGGTATATCACTGATACAGGTAAGTCACTGATACAGGTAATTCACTGATACAGGTATATCACTGATACAGGTAAGTCACTGATACAGGTAAGTCACTGATACAGGTATATCACTGATACAGGTAATTCACTGATACAGGTAAGTCACTGATACAGGTATATCACTGATACAGGTAGGTCACTGATACAAGTATATCACTGATACAGGTAAGTCACTGATACAGGTAAGTCACCGATACAGGTATATCACTGATACAGGTAAGTCACTGATACAGGTAAGTCATTGATACAGGTATATCACTGATACAGGTATATCACTGATACAGGTAATTCACTGATACAGGTAAGTCACTGATACAGGTATATCACTGATACAGGTAGGTCACTGATACAAGTATATCACTGATACAGGTAAGTCACTGATACAGGTAAGTCACCGATACAGGTATATCACTGATACAGGTAAGTCACTGATACAGGTAAGTCATTGATACAGGTATATCACTGATACAGGTATATCACTGATACAGGTATATCACTGATACAGGTAAGTCACTGATACAGGTATATCATTGATATAGTAAAATCACATCAGAAACTTGCCTGAAATGACCCTTAGATGGTCCTGACCAAGTGTTGTTATTGAGCTGAATTTTTGTGGGAATATGGAGAAACTGAATGAGAAGTACCTGGTAAATCTCCTCCTGAGACAAAGTCTCATGGTGACATATTACAATCACCTCCGGAGTTGTGCATCATGTGTCTGTAAACAATTCAACATTTTTGACTTCTTCTTAAAACCCCTGAGCCGATTTCAATGAAACTTTGCAGAAACCTTTCCTGGCCTTAGATAAAACAAAATGGTGAATTATACAGTCCCCATCTCACAGGGGCCATAGAGGTGGGGTCAAAAGTGGTCAAAAATTGACTGGGATTTCAAAAATCTTCTTCTCAACACCCAGATATGGTAGAATCAAATTCATGGATGGAAGCATCTTAAGGTGCTTTACAGAAATTGTGAATTTCTTGGCCCAGGGGTTTCTTATTTCCCTTTGGGGAGAGGGTAAAACATGCGATAGTTTATATAGGAAAACTGGATTTTTGAGCAACTTGTTTAGAATGATGAGTGTAGAATGGCATTAGGATGATATGTATGTACTGACCATGACTGACCCCCAGGAGCTGAGGGGTGAGGCTAAAAAAGATCAAATTGATGCAAATCTAAAAATATTTCCCCTCAATATCCAGATATGGTAAAATGTTATGCACATTTCACATTTCATGTACAATGCAGTTCAAATTATCTTATTTTTTCTATGACATGTAAGTAGGACAACAACAGCTTATAACTAAGGTGATCTTGGGCCTCTATATTGTTCCTACTTATACTACTGTTATTATGTACAGGACTTTATAGTCAGATGAATGCCAATGCCCATGTACCTCTTGTATATTATAGTTCCTGCTGTTTTATGGAGAAAGAAAATGTCTCGGTCAAAATTTGATAGTCCTATCGTAACACAAAATGGCGAAATTTGGGTACCTCACAGATACATGCACAGTGTACCTTAATGTCCTGGTTAATTCTAATGGTGATTTGTGCTGATGTTTCAGAGTTTATGGCGATGCTATGCTGCCGAGCCTGGTTTCAATTCCACCGCTACTTGGACAATGCACCTGGACAAACACTACAAAGCATATTATGCCAACAATTCTTCAGCCTCTCCCTTCGCACGCATGGCCCGTCGCACCAGTTTCTTGAAAAAAAGACGCTGCTCACGGTCTGCTGGCAACAGTGTATTTGACAGACATGAAAGTGTCAGCTCTATATCAGGGTACCTAGAGCCAAACAAACCAGGTACACATTGATCTTTATGTCTCCCTACAAACCAGACACACATTGATCTGTATGTCTCCATACAAACCAGATACACATTGATCTTTATGTCTCCCTACAAACCAGACACACATTGATCTGTATGTCTCCATACAAACCAGATATACATTGATCTATATGCCTCCATACAAACCAGGTACACATTGATCTATATGTCTCCATACAAACCAGATACAAATTGGTCTATATGTCTCCATACAAACCAGACACACATTGATCTATATGTCTCCATACAAACCAGATACACATTGATCTTTATGTCTCCCTACAAACCAGACACACATTGATCTGTATGTCTCCATACAAACTAGACACACACTGATCTATGTCTCCATACAAACCAGACACACATTGATCTATATGTCTCCATACAAACCAGATACACATTGATCTATATGTCTCCATACAAACCATACACACATTGATCTAAATGTCTCCATACAAACAAGATACACATTGATCTATATGTCTCCATACAAACCAGACACACATTGATCTATATGTCTCCATACAAACCACACACACATTGATCTGTATGTCTCCATACAAACCACACACACATTGATCTATATGTCTCCATACAAACCACACACACATTGATCTATATGTCTCCATACAAACCAGACACACATTGATCTATATGTCTCCATACAAACAAGACACACATTGATCTATATGTCTCCATACAAACAAGATACACATTGATCTATATGTCTCCATACAAACCAGACACACATTGATCTTTATGTCTCCCTACAAACCAGACACACATTGATCTATATGTCTCCATACAAACAAGATACACATTGATCTATATGTCTCCATACAAACCAGATACACATTGATCTTTATGTCTCCCTACAAACCAGACACACATTGATCTATATGTCTCCATACAAACCACACACACATTGATCTATATGTCTCCATACAAACCAGACACACATTGATCTATATGTCTCCATACAAACAAGACACACATTGATCTATATGTCTCCATACAAACAAGATACACATTGATCTATATGTCTCCATACAAACCAGACACACATTGATCTTTATGTCTCCCTACAAACCAGACACACATTGATCTATATGTCTCCATACAAACAAGATACACATTGATCTATATGTCTCCATACAAACCAGATACACATTGATCTTTATGTCTCCCTACAAACCAGACACACATTGATCTGTATGTCTCCATACAAACTAGACACACACTGATCTATGTCTCCATACAAACCAGACACCCGCTGATCTATATGTCTCTATACAAACAAGATACACATTGATCTATATGTCTCCATACAAACCAGATACACATTGATCTATATGTCTCCATACAAACCAGATACACATTGATCTAAATGTCTCCATACAAACCAGGTACAGAATTATCTTTACGTCTCCATACAAGACAGGTATATATGTCTCCACATATGTTAATAAATACTGATTCCTTGTGTAAATAAAGTTTCCTGGTCTTTACAGGTACTCCCAATAAATCACCTGTAGGCTCCTTTGGACTGCCATCACAGGATGTCCTGGAATACTCTGTTGATGATGGGGATGAAAATGATGTGATATCCAAGCCAGAACAGTAAGTGTCTCTATGTCTGCCATTTGTTTGTCCAATTGTCTTTCAATCTACCATTGTCCTTCTGTTGTTTGTCCATTGTTCAGCAATGCATTCTACAAATGTTTCTCCATATACTTTTGTTTTTCTGTTCCTTGTCCATTGTGTTATTCATTCTATAACTGTCTGTCCATCTGTTGTTTATATCTGTTGTGTGTCTATCCATTCTATAACTGTCTGTCCATCTGTTGTTTATATCTGTTGTGTGTCTATCCATTCTATAACTGTCTGTCCATCTGTTGTTTATATCTGTTGTGTGTCTATCCATTCTATAACTGTCTGTCCATATGTTGTTTATAACTGTTGTGTGTCTATCCATTCTATAACTGTCTATCCATCTGTTGTTTACTTCTGTTGTGTGTCTATCCATTCTATAACTGTCTGTCCATCTGTTGTTTATATCTGTTGTGTGTCTATCCATTCTAAAATTGTCTGTCCATCTGTTGTTTGTATCTGTTGTGTGTCTATCCATTCTATAACTGTCTGTCCATCTGTTGTTTATATCTGTTGTGTGTCTATCCATTCCATAACTGTCTATCCATCTGTTGTTTTCTTCTGTTGTGTGTCTATCCATTCTATAACTGTCTGTCCATCTGTTGTCTAGTACTAACAGAAACATACCGAGAGAGGCAAGGATACCTCTTGGATCTAATCGTCTAATGACTGGTGTCCTGTCTATCTGATGGGTGTTTCCTATAATGACTTGTGTCCTGTCTATGTGATGGATGTTTCCTATAATGACTGGTGTCCTGTCTATCTGATGGGTGTTTCCTATAATGACTTGTGTCCTGTCTATCTGATGGGTGTTTCCTATACTGACTTGTGTCCTGTCTATCTGATGGGTGTTTCCTATAATGACTGGTGTCCTGTCTATCTGATGGGTGTTTCCTATAATGACTGGTGTCCTGTCTATGTGATGGGTGTTTCCTATAATGACTGGTGTCCTGTCTATGTGATGGGTGATTCCTATAATGACTGGTGTCCTGTCTATGTGATGGGTGTTTCCTATAATGACTGGTGTCCTGTCTATGTGATGGGTGTTTCCTATAATGACTGGTGTCCTGTCTATGTGATGGGTGTTTCCTATAATGACTGGTGTCCTGTCTATGTGATGGGTGTTTCCTATAATGACTGGTGTCCGGTCTATGTGATGGGTGTTTCCTATAATGACTGGTGTCCTGTCTATGTGATGGGTGTTTCCTATAATGACTGGTGTCCTGTCTATCTGATGGGTGTTTCCTATAATGACTTGTGTCCTGTCTATGTGATGGGTGTTTCCTATAATGACTTGTGTCCTGTCTATCTGATGGGTGTTTCCTATAATGACTTGTGTCCTGTCTATCTGATGGGTGTTTCCTATAATGACTGGTGTCCTGTCTATCTGATGGGTGTTTCCTATAATGACTGGTGTCCTGTCTATGTGATGGGTGTTTCCTATAATGACTGGTGACCTGTCTATCTGATGGGTGTTTCCTATAATGACTTGTGTCCTGTCTATGTGATGGGTGTTTCCTATAATGACTTGTGTCCTGTCTGTGTGATGGGTGTTTCCTATAATGACTGGTGTCCTGTCTATGTGATTGGTATTTCCTATAGTAACTGTCTTAGCTGACAGGACAATGTGTTCCTATGCAGCTGTATAGTATCTGAACATTGTGAGGTCTTCCCTCTGTCCTAGAGACTTATCACATAAAGACAAAGTAGGTGTCAGCTGTGCTGTAGCTGACACTGTCACGATGGATGATGGCACCAGAACACAGAGCCAGGGTGGGCATGCATTATTTAGAAGGATGTTTATCATTTGTAATGGAGGGATGTCATATTGTGACAGATATCACAAGGAATTATTACAGATGTTACATTTTCTCTCTGTAGGCATTGTACAGTTAGGGAACAGTTAAAGTCTAGTATTACCTATAAACATATCACAGAATTGTGTACTTCTGTGTCATAGACGTAACCTTATAAATATCTTATTATTGTTCAAGTGAAAACTTACTTACACAGGAAATTGGGTGAATTATTCATTGTGTAAAATTGTTTTCCAGTGTAATATCATTTGTCCCCAGCTGTTTATTGCGTCATGAACTTCCTGCTGTAGTTGATCTATGAAGGAGAATCTTTAAAATTACCATAGTATAGGTAACATCATCATGTGATTAAACGGACAAAGGACATACAGCCTTAAATTCAAACGATTAATACACAATAAGATATACTCTGTAATGGTTTGAAATAGTTTATTGTTCTTGTTTTAAGTAAGGTTTTGTTATTCTTTCAGACTCACAGATGCTCATAAAACTATGATTCGGGTGATACGAAAAATCAAGTTTTTTGTAGCAAGGAGAAAATTTCAGGTAAGATTTTAAGATGCTCATAAAACTATGATTCAGGTGATATGAAAAATTAAGTTTTTAGTAGCAAGGAGAAAATTTTAGGTAAGATTTTAAGATGCTCATAAAACTATGATTCAGGTGATATGAAAAATTAAGTTTTTTGTAGCAAGGAGAAAATTTTAGGTAAGATTTTAAGATGCTCATAAAACTATGATTCAGGTGATATGAAAAATTAAGTTTTTTGTAGCAAGGAGAAAATTTAGGTAAGATTTTAAGATAATTTTTCTGACATAAGATAAGTAGTGCTGTAGGATGATCCTTTTGTTTTTCAAGGTAAAAATTTGTTATGAACATTTTCTAAGATGTTTGAAGACATCTGTCTCAGTGTACCTTACTGCCTTAATGAGGCACAAGACTTTCTATGTGGGATCTGAAGAATGGTACCACAACCTACAAATCACCTAAAATTTCACGATAAATGTATGTTATTGCTATTTCTCAGAAAGTAGGTCACATGCCATTCTGAAGGTTGTTCAGATATTCTAGCTGTGCATTGTGGATTTTATACATTAATAATCACTGCCAGTTGGCCAGCTTGGATTTTAGGGACAGAATACTGAGGTCTTCATCAAACATTTACATCACTTCCCCTTTTATCCTAGTTGTGTTTTATCATGATTAATGTATACGGTCAGGGTAACAAATGTCAATTTCCTTCTATAATCATTCAGATTGTGTAACCATAGTGACAGCATTTATCTGAGTGTACATCCTTAGTTTAAAGATTGTGTAACCATGGTGACAGGATTTATCTGAATGTACTTCCTTTTCAGTTCATGTTACCTGAGCATTTGCAGTAAATTTATAAATTATGTTCCTTTCATTTAAAACCAAAACCAAATTGCTTTTATTTATAATAAGATTTTATGATTATGTTGCCTTCAAAAATGTTCCTCCTGCTTTGTAAGAGGAATTCTTTTTCTTGTGCTATAGCAAGCTCGAAAGCCATATGACGTACGTGATGTAATAGAGCAGTACTCTCAGGGACACCTCAACATGATGGTCCGTATCAAGGAGCTGCAAAGAAGGTAAAATGAGAAATTCTACTGAGAGATAGCATTATATCAGGGCTCTTTACAGGAGATGTGTCATTGGTCATTTAGTACACAGGAGGTGTGCCATTGGTCAATTAGTACACAGGAGGTGTGTCATTGGTCAATTAGTACACAGAAGGTGTGTCATTGGTCCACCAGTACACAGGAGGTTTGTCATTGGTCATTTAGTACACAGGAGGTGTGCCATTGGTCAATTAGTACACAGGAGGTGTGTCATTGGTCAATTAGTACACAGGAGGTGTGTCATTGGTCAATTAGTACACAGAAGGTGTGTCATTGGTCCACCAGTACACAGGAGGTTTGTCATTGGACCACTAGTACACAAAAGGTGTGTTATTGGTCCACCAGTACACAGGAGGTGTGTCATTGGTCCACCAGTACACAGGAGGTGTGTCATTGGTCCACCAGTACACAGGAGGTGTGTCATTGGACCACCAGTACACAGGAGGTGTGTCATTGGTCCATTAGTACACAGGAGGTGTGTTATTGGTCCAACAGTACACAGGAGGTGTGTTATTGGACCACCAGTACACAGGAGGTGTGTCATTGGACCGCAGGACACAGGAGGTGTGTCATTGGACCACCAGTACACAGGAGGTGTGTTATTGGTCCAACAGTACACTGGAGGTGTGTTATTGGTCCACCAGTACACAGGAGGTGTGTTATTGGACCACCAGTACACAGGAGGTGTGTCATTGAACCACCAGTACACAAGAGGTGTGTTATTGGTCCACCAGTACACAAGAGGTGTGTTATTGGTCCACCAGTACACAGGAGGTGTGTTATTGTTCCACCAATACACAGGAGGTGTGTCATTGGTCCACCAGTACAAATGAGGTGTGTTATTGATCCACCAGTACACAGGAGGTGTGTCATTGGTCCACAAGTATACAGGAGGTGTGTTATTGGTCCAACAGTACACAGGAGGTGTGTCATTGGACCGCCAGTACACAGGAGATGTGTCATTGGACCACCAGTACACAGGAGGTGTGTTATTGGTACATTAGTACACAGGAGATGTGTCATTGGACCACCAGTACACAGGAGGTGTGTTATTGGTACATTAGTACACAGGAGGTGTGTTATTGGTCCACCAGTACACAGCTGTGTCATTGGACCACCAGTACACAAGAGGTGTGTTATTGGTCCACCAATACACAGGAGGTGTGTCATTGGACCACCAGTAAACAGGAGGTTTGTCATTGGACCACCAGTACACAGAAGGTGTGTCATTGGACCACCAGTACACAAGAGGTATGTTATTGGTCCACCAGTACACAGGAGGTATGTTATTGGTCCACCAGTACACAGGAGGTGTGTTATTGGTTGACCAGTACACAGGAAGTGCGCATTGGTCCACCAGTATACAAGAGGTGTGTCATTGGACCACCAATACACAGGGTGTGTGTTATTGGTCCACCAGTACACAGGAGGTGTGTTATTGGTCCACTAGTACACAGGAGGTGTGTCATTGGTCCACCAGTACACAAGAGGTGTGTTATTGGTCCACAAGTACACAGGAGGTGTGTTATTGGTCCACAAGTACACAGGAGGTGTGTTATTGGTCCACCAGTACACAGGAGGTGTGTTATTGGTCCACTATTACACAGGAGGTGTTTCATTGGTCCACCAGTACACAAGAGGTGTGCTATTGGTCCACCAGTACACAGGAGGTATGTTATTGGTCCACCAGTACACAGGAGGTGTGTTTTTGGTCCACCAGTACACAGGAGGTGTGTTATTGGTCCACCAGTACACAGGAGTTGTGTCATTGGTCCACCAGTACACAGGAGGTGTGTTATTGGTCCACAAGTACACAGGAGGTGTGTCATTGGTCTACTAGTATACAGGAGGTGTGTTATTGGTCTACTAGTATACAGGAGGTGTGTCATTCGTCCACCAGTGAACTGTAATATGTTGGTGCTGGTGTACTGAATATTTTCTGGCATAGTGAGGATATTTTGGACCATTTTGTTTTCAGTTGTTGTTTTCTTGTTTCAGACTGGATCAGACATTAGGGAAACCCCTGTACACAGGATCAAAGGAAAACAAAGAAAAGGTTACAGTGTGTGCTAGGATAGCATCAATAGAAAACCAGGTTAGTTGATGCAGGTCAAGGTTTTTTCCAGGGTAGCCTCTGTAAAGGTTGTCAGTGGAGTGAGTTATTCTATCCGGCACTTTTCCATGCCAAACCAGGTGGAAAGTGTATAAAAGTTTAGCAGGTAGCACAGTAAGTTGAGCATGGTGAATTTTCAATCCTTGCAGAAATTATTTGATTAGCAGATGGCCATACAGATAAAAAAAGTAAAAGTTTCTGAGTATAGGTTAAATTTTGAATATTCTCGATTTAAATTGTAATAAAATAGTCAAAATAGCATTGATAGATTGTTTTGATGCGCATGTAGAAAAAGTGATGAACATCCTATCAGCTATAAATTATGATACAAGCCTACTTGATTCTCAAAACACCAAGAACTCTGCTGTCTATCTGTAAAGCATCTTGTATCTAATTCTCATATATTCCTTCTAATTATGAATTCTTCTTTACAGGTGAATCGCTTGGATAAAAAGATGGACCAAGTGCTCCTCATGTTGAACCTGGTGGTAAAGTCTCAGAGTAACACACAGAAGACAGGCTCCACAAGCTCTTAACACCAACCATAACCATAACAACTTCCTTGTGGCCAATCAGGGCCCTTGACTTGAAATACATTCCAGTATGTTTCCATGGCAACTAAGGCAAAAGTCCACAGCAGAAGGACAGACATCAGCTTAACAGACACTGAACAAGAAAATCTCTTGATAGTTTAAGCTGTAGAAGTGATCGTGGCTGTTAGTGTGTAACATTGTGTTAACAGTGATTGAACAATATTAGAAACTGTCAGAGAGAGGCAGCAAAGTTGTCTAGATTGTCACAGTTAACATGACAAATTAGGATGTGATACACACATCAGCAAGAACATACTCATCAAAACCTGCCCCCTGAAGATTCCTAGGGGCTGGGAGTGTCGATGTGTCAGGCTGGATTAGGGACAGACAGTTAAAGGGTCTTCCTGCCCTACCTGTGATTCAGATACTACACAAACGGCTAAGAGAAACGGGTCTACTGTGATATAGTTACAGCATTGTTTTATTGTGTAATATTTGTTTTGTCTGATCTCCGAATCTGTTCCGAACACAATACAGGATTTTACTAATACATATCTTTAAGGGAAATCGCTACCTCCAGTAGTTAACCTCTGGGCCATGCTTTGATTTTAGTTTATGAAGGGCAGGTAATGACAGAGCAAGACACTGGTTTAGTTCTGACATGCATTTCTGATTTCTTCTATCAAATATTTACACATTAACTTGTTTCTATATCCTTTTTTGATATGGAAGGAAAGCAATAGTGATTGTTGTCTCACCTATGTCTCTTCACATCCTGTCTCATCACTTTATACATTGTTACTTATTGGATATATATCAAACTTTAATGTTAGGTAGAGGATAAATCTCCTATGTTTCAGGGTTCCACGGTCAAGGTCACCATATCTATCATAGATCCATTCAGTGATGCCTATCCAGCTGTATTTCTTGATTTATTTCGACTTATTAATTTTAACGAATGTCTGGTATATCCAGGAAAAAGATTTCTGTTTCAAAAGAATTTCTCAATATTTAGTGATTCAATGTAAATTATAATGAGATTCAAAATTTCTTTATTAGTATAAAGACAAAGAATAAGCACACTATGTGTGGTCACTACAGGGAAACCTTTAAATCTTGTTTCAACTGTGAATGCCAGCTGGTGCAATCTATTTCACTGTCATATCTAAGTGTATATGCATTATAAATTGTACATAACTTGTTAGGTTGTCAACATTTCAAACTGGTTGTGTTATTTTTAAACTTATTAACATGATAAGATTTACTTGAATTATCTATCATCATGTAACATTTTTTTGGAGAGGATTAAACATTCATTGATCTTCAGTTAACAGATGTGGTTTGTTTAATATGGTTCTTCATGAAGACAGATAGAGGTCTCTGTTAAACACAATATTAAGACAATTTTTAACTCATATTCAATTTTAAACACATTCTTAATTATTCACTTCATTTTCTATTTATAAAAGTTTAATTAGTCTTACTAAGTAGTGTGTGATCCTGATCAAGTGTGTGTTTCATTGTTCTCTTTCTATGTATATAAATTTGATGTATTTTACACCAAACTGTTTGTATTTTCAGCAAATATTAAATGTGCATAGATTTTTTTATCTAAGACTTTAAGAATAATTATTGTCTTCCAAATAAATTTATAGCACATTAAAAAATTTGGGCAGATAAGTAGAAGAATGGGTTGAAGGAAGGGAGATAACTCTAACATAATAGTGGGTTTATAACAATGGGAGACGACTCACATTCCATGGTTGTGTGCAACTTTTTTTCCGAATTATTTTGTGTGTGTGTTATTTTAACAAAATATGTTTGATATTGTTTTATGTGCCAAATAAAACACTTTTTAAAACCTATTATGTCTTTGAAGCTTATTTAGAATACAGACATTTTGTGTGCATGAATAATGGGATTGAGCGATTGATTTTATTTGAAAATGATTAATATACATGTATATGATTTCAATGAGAGTAGATCACTCCGTATATACCATCATCATCAGTAACATTTATGCAGTAACAGCAATTAACACACTCATTCCCTGGAAATCTTGATTATTTTCCTTGGCTGTCAAACAGATGTAAAAGGGTCAGATGATAGCAATAATTCCTCAATGATTAACTTAACATTATACTCATATTTTATCATGTATCAACTGAGATATTTAATAATTAAATGATTTAATATTTGTTTACAAATGGAGATACAGCTGTACTGTAGTGTAATGGTGGATGGTGCTACAGCTGTATCGTAGTGTAATGATAGATGGAGATACAGCTGTACTGTAGTGTAATGGTGGATGGTGCTACAGCTGTATCGTAGTGTAATGATAGATGGAGATACAGCTGTACTGTAGTGTAATGGTGGATGGTGCTACAGCTGTATCGTAGTGTAATGATAGATGGAGATACAGCTGTACTGTAGTGTAATGGTGGGTGGAGATACAGCTGTACTGTAGTGTAATGGTGGATGGAGATACAGCTGTACTGTAGTGTAATGGTTGGATGGAGATACAGCTGTACTGTAGTGTAATGGTGGGTGGAGATACAGCTGTACTGTAGTGTAATAATAGATGGAGATACAGCTGTACTGTAGTGTAATGATAGATGGAGATACAGCTGTACTGTAGTGTAATGGTGGATGGAGATACAGCTGTACTGTAGTGTAATGATGGATGGAGATACAGCTGTACTGTAGTGTAATGGTGGATGGAGATACAACTGTACTGTAGTGTAATGATTGATGGAGATACAGCTGTACTGTAGTGTAATGGTGGATGGTGCTACAGCTGTATCGTAGTGTAATGATAGATGGAGATACAGCTGTACTGTAGTGTAATGGTGGGTGGAGATACAGCTGTACTGTAGTGTAATGGTGGATGGAGATACAGCTGTACTGTAGTGTAATGGTGGATGGTGCTACAGCTGTATCGTAGTGTAATGATGGATGGAGATACAGCTGTACTGTAGTGTAATGATGGATGGAGATACAGCTGTACTGTAGTGTAATGGTGGATGGAGATACAACTGTACTGTAGTGTAATGATTGATGGAGATACAGCTGTACTGTAGTGTAATGGAGATACAGCTGTACTGTAGTGTAATGGTGGATGGAGATACAGCTGTACTGTAGCGTAATGGTGGATGGAGATACAGCTGTACTGTAGTGTAATGGTGGGTGGAGATACAGCTGTACTGTAGTGTAATGGTGGATGGAGATACAGCTGTACTGTAGTGTAATGATGGATGGAGATACAACTGTACTGTAGTGTAATGATTGATGGAGATACAGCTGTACTGTAGTGTAATGGAGATACAGCTGTACTGTAGTGTAATGGTGGATGGAGATACAGCTGTACTGTAGTGTAATGATGGATGGAGATACAGCTGTACTGTAGTGTAATGGTGGGTGGAGATACAGCTGTACTGTAGTGTAATGATGGATGGAGATACAGCTGTACTGTAGTGTAATGGTGGGTGGAGATACAGCTGTACTGTAGTGTAATGGTGGATGGAGATACAGCTGTACTGTAGTGTAATGATGGATGGAGATACAACTGTACTGTAGTGTAATGATTGATGGAGATACAGCTGTACTGTAGTGTAATGGAGATACAGCTGTACTGTAGTGTAATGGTGGATGGAGATACAGCTGTACTGTAGTGTAATGGAGATACAGCTGTACTGTAGTGTAATGGTGGATGGAGATACAGCTGTACTGTAGTGTAATGGTAGATGGAGATACAGCTGTACTGTAGTGTAATGGTGGGTGGAGATACAGCTGTACTGTAGTGTAATGGTGGATGGAGATACAGCTGTACTGTAGTGTAATGGTGGATGGAGATACAGCTGTACTGTAGTGTAATGGTGGATGGAGATACAGCTGTACTGTAGTGTAATGATGGATGGAGATACAGCTGTACTGTAGTGTAATGGTGGATGGAGATACAGCTGTACTGTAGTGTAATGATTGATGGAGATACAGCTGTACTGTAGTGTAATGGTGGATGGAGATACAGCTGTACTGTAGTGTAATGGTGGATGGAGATACAGCTGTACTGTAGTGTAATGGTGGATGGAGGTACAGCTGTACTGTAGTGTAATGATGGATGGAGATACAGCTGTACTGTAGTGTAATGGTGGATGGTGCTACAGCTGTATCGTAGTGTAATGATAGATGGAGATACAGCTGTACTGTAGTGTAATGATGGATGGAGATACAGCTGTACTGTAGTGTAATGGTGGATGGTGCTACAGCTGTATCGTAGTGTAATGATAGATGGAGATACAGCTGTACTGTAGTGTAATGGTGGATGGAGATACAACTGTACTTTAGTGTAATGATTGATGGAGATACAGCTGTACTGTAATGTAATGGAGATACAGCTGTACTGTAGTGTAATGGTGGATGGAGATACAGCTGTACTGTAGTGTAATGGTGCATGGAGATACAGCTGTACTGTAGTGTAATGGTGGGTGGAGATACAGCTGTACTGTAGTGTAATGGTGAATGGAGAAACAGCTGTACTGTAGTGTAATGATGGATGGAGATACAGCTGTACTGTAGTGTAATGGTTGGGGAGGTACAGCTGTACTGTAGTGTAATGGTGGATGGAGCTACAGATGAACTGTAGTGTAATGGTGGATGGAGATACAGCTGTACTGTAGTGTAATGGTTGGTGGAGCTGCAGATGAACTGTAGTGTAATGATGGATGGAGATACAGCTGTACTGTAGTGTAATGGTTGGATGGAGATACAGCTGTACTGTAGTGTAATGGTTGATGGAGCTACAGATGAACTGTAGTGTAATGATGGATGGAGATACAGCTGTACTGTAGTGTAATGGTTGGATGGAGATACAGCTGTACTGTAGTGTAATGGTGGGTGGAGATACAGCTGTACTGTAGTGTAATGGTGGGTGGAGATACAGCTGTACTGTAGTGTAATGGTGGATGGAGATACAGCTGTACTGTGGTGTACTGTTTGTGACCCTT